AATGGCCACCATCAACAAATCATCAAACAACAAGTGTTGGCGAGGGTGTGGAGAAAAGGGGACTCTAATACACTGCTGGTGGGAATGCAGACTGGTGCAGCCACTATGGAAAACAATACGGTGTTACCTCAAAAAATTAAAAATTGAACTTCCATTTGACCCGGTGTTCCCACTTCTAGGAATATACCCTGAGAAGCCTGAAACACCAGTCAGGAAGAATATATGTACCCCCATGTTCATAGCAGCACTATATACAATAGCTAAGATCTGGAAACAGCCCAAGTGTCCATCAGTAGACGAATGGATAAAAAGCAGTGGGACATATACACAATGAAGTACTATGCAGCTGTAAGAAAGATCTCTTATCCTTTGAGACGACATGGAAGGACCTGGAAAGTGTTATCCTAGGTGAAATAAGCCAACTAGAAAAAGACAAATACCACATGATCTCACTGATATATGGAATATAATAAACATAACAGTCTGTGGAATATTGTAGACCCAGAAAAATGGAAGTAGGACACAGACTAACATCCCTCAGAAGAGGGGATGGGGAGGTGGGAAGAGATAAACCACAGAACTTATATGCATGTATGCATAACCCATAGACATAGAAAACAAAGCTGAGGACGGGGCGGGGGTGGGGAGGAAAGGGGGATGCCAATGGGGTAAAAAAGGAGAAACATCGGTAACAAATAAAATAAATTAAATTTAAAAAAAAGAAAGAAATCAGGTTATCTTACTTCAAGTGAAAATTAGGAAAACTGCCCTCACCAGTTTGGCTCAGCAGTTAGAGTGTTGGCTTACAGACCAATGTGTTGCAGGTTCAATTCCAGCCAAGGGCACATACCTCGGTTGCAGTTTGGCCCTGGCCCTGGTCAGGGTTGTGTGGGAGGCAACCAGTCAATGTGTGTCTCTCTCACATCGATGTTTCCCTCTCTCCCGCTCCCTTTCACTCTATCTGAAGATAAATAGAAAAATATCCTCAGGAGAGGATTTTTTAAAAAATTAGGAAAATTGACATTATGTACTTCCTGTTATGGCACTGTACAAAGTACATAATATCACCTGTGAAATACTCTTGCCTAAGAAAATTCAGGCTGCCCAGCTGCTATGGCTCAGTGGTTGAGCGTCAACCCATGCACCAAGAGGTCACCAGTTCGATTTCTAGTCAGGACACATGCCCAGGTTGTGGGCCAAATACCCAGTGAGGGGCATGCAGGAGGCGGCCAGTCGATGTTCTCTCTCATCGATGTTTCTAGCTCTCTCTCCCTCTCCCTTCCTTACTCTCTAAAATCAATAAAGAACAAAAGAGTAAAAAAAAAAAAAAGAAGAAAATTAAACCTAAATGGAATCAAGCCTCTAGATCTAACCACTGGTTTATAGCAAATAGAGGGGATAGAGAGGAAAATTAATATCACAGGAAACTATTAGTCAAATTCAGGAATGTAAGATGTCTCACAGTATAAATGACCCAGTGTCTCCAGCAAATCAAAGGCATGAAAATAAAAGAAGGGATGGTGGTGGTGGTGATGGAAGAACTGTTAGATAGTAAGAGAAATTTAAGAAGAAAAACAATCAAATACAATATGTTGACTTTGTGAGTCTTGATTCAACAAATCAAGTATAAAAAAAACTGGAAAATATCTGAGATTTAATGAATGAAATATTAAATTATATTAAGGAAGATTAATCTTATTAGGTGTGAAACTGGCATGATGGGTTTTTTTAAAGTCCTTATTAGATGCACTTGAAATTAATACAAAATAATATTGAATGTAAACATTCAATATTTGAAAAAATTAAAAATTAAATTTTTTAATTTTGAAAGTTGAAAAATTAAAAAAAAATTTTTAAAGACCTTATTAGAGATACATACAGAAGTATTTACATTAAAAACAAAATGACATGGTACCTGGGGTTTGCTTTAAAAGAAAAAGAAAAGTTGGAAGGGTGGATTGAATAAAACTGGTAGATAAATACCGGAGAGGAAAATACAAGAGGACTTATTGAAAAAGGAAGTATACCTATGACTTGAAAGAATTTAATGCATGATAATGACATTAAAGATGACTTATTTAATACACTTAATTGGATAAGTTGGTTAAGTACTAGAAATTACATCTGGATTTAAAAATGAAATGTAAAATATGAAACTATAAAAACCTAGAAAAGAATATTTCAGATTGGGAGATAACATTTTAAGCATAAATAACAGAAAACATCAAAAAGGGAATATTCATTGATTTTACTTTATTAATATAGAACATTTTACATATCCAACAATCATAAATAAAAGGCATGGCAAATTAGGGTAAAATTGAAAGTCATACAAATCTGTAAGCAAACAGTAAATTAAAAAATGGAAAAATGACAAAAACATTTTTGAAAATATACAAGAAACAGAAGAGACTGATAAACTTCTAAAAACTGTTTAGCTCATAAACAATCAAAGAAATTAATGTAAAAATAACATTTTACCCTCTCCAAATTAGCGAACTTTTTTTTAAAACTATTACTTTATAGCTTCAATGGACACATATAAAACTAGTGGTCTTGGGATAAATTTTTATTTTTATCATTTTTTTTTAAATTTATTTTTTATCCTCACCCGAGGACATTTTTCCATTTTTTGTTCAGATAGAGTGGAAGGGAGAGAAAGGAAGAGAGAAACATCGACGTGAAAGGGACACATCGAGTGGCTGCCACCTGCTCTACCAACCAGGGCCGGGGACAAACTGAAACCAAGGTACATGCCCTTAACAGGAACCAAACCCAGGTCTCTCTGGACCGCAGGCCGACGCTCTAACCGCTGAGCCAAACTGGCCAGGGCGGGATAAATTTTATAAACCTTTTGGAAAGCATTTGGTGATATATGCCAAGAATTTTTTAAAAATTTGTTATCTTTGGCTAATTCTATGAATCTAACTCTAAGAAATAATTATGAATGTGTATAGCTAACTACTTTCAGGGTCTTTATCACAGGGATTATAAGGGCAAAAACATGTAAAAATGAGACAATATTAAATAAATTGGTTTACTTGTATAGTAAAATCTTAGGTGGATATTTACAATCATGTTTTATAGAATATTTAATGACACAGAGAGTTGCTCAGGATATAATATTAAATGACAAAGAAATTGGGGCCCTGGCCTGTGTGGCTCAGTTGATTGGGTGTTGTCCTGTGCACCAAAAGGTTGCTGGTTTGATTCCCTGTCAGTGTACATGCCCGGGTTGCAGTCTTGATCTGTGGTAGAGGGTGTGCAGGAGGCAGCAGATCGATGTTCCACTTTTACATCAATGTTTCTCTCTTTCCCTCTTTCTCTAAAAATCTATAAAAATATGAAAGAAAAATTGGTATGATCCCAATTTAGTGTGTGTGTGTATGTGTGTGTGTGTGTGTGTGTATATATATACACTGCAACCCGGACATGTGCACTGACAGGGAATCAAACCAGCAACCTTTTGGTGCACAGGACAACACCCAATCAACTGAGCCACACAGGCCAGGGCCCCAATTTCTTTGTCATTTAATATTATATCCTGAGCAACTCTCTGTGTCATTAAATATTCTATACACACACTCATATATATACACACACACACACACATATACATACATACACACACCTAGACAAAGGAGTGCAAATGAAATACTTTAAAATACCTGTACCTCTGGATGTTGATATTATGGGTGATTTTTTTTCTCTCTCTTTCTCATACATATCCATATTTTATAATTTTTTTATAGTAGCATGTTTTTAATCAGGGAAAAACACACACAAAACAATAGAGACATATACATGTAGATTTCTTATAAGTCTGTGCAAAACCAAGTGTTATGTTATGCTTGCAGATTAAGTTTAGACAAAGAAGGAAAATATTAAGCTCTAGAGGAGGCAAATAAAGGCTAAAGAATGGAGACAAGAGGACTTCAACTGACTTTGAAGCATCGATGGGAATAGGCTAGGTGGTGGGGTAGGACAAAATTTTATATGTTTATGGTTGTCAGGAATCAAGTCATGTCAGGGAGATCTGAAATGGATTATCTGGTCCATACATTAACTCGTGGGTCATGTATCACTACTTTATTTTGGAATTAATTAAAGAATTGTTTTAAATGTGTTTAGAATCCCAGGCTGGTGTGGCTCAGTTGGTTGAGCATTGTCCGGGGCACTGAAATGTTGCCAGTCCAATTCTCCATCAGGGCACATGCCCGGGTTGTGGGCTCGATCCCTGATCAGAGTACGTGCGAGAGGTAACCAATCGATGTTTGTCTCTCACATAGATATTTCTTTCTCTGTCTCTCTCTTCCTTTTTCTCTAAAAATCAATAAAAAATATTTTAAAAAGTGTTTAGAAAACAAAAGGGGCCATTTGTATTTATAAAAATAGTTAATTCTAAGATATAGCTTTTTGTTTTTATCCTCACCTGAAGATATTTTTCCATTTATGTTCAGATAGGGTTGGGGGCGGGGGACATTGTTGTTAGAGAGACATATCAATTGGTTGCCTCCCACACGACCCCAACCAGGACCAGGACTGAACCACAACTGAGGTACGTGCCCTTGATCATAATCGAACCTGCAACTCATTGGTCCACGGACCAATGCTCTTAACCACTGAGCCAAACCGGCCAGGGCTACGATTTAGCTCTTTGACATGTATTAAAGAGCAATAAAGTTAATCATAAACAAAGGTAAGAATTTTAGTATACAGTGAACTTAGTATGGATTTTTTTAAAAGTAGGACAGAGTAAAGGAGATGATAGAGACCTGCAAGGGAGTAGGACAAAGTAGAAATCAGTAAAACCTAGAGGGAATGGGAACTTTGGATAATGTTAGAATCTCTTTGTCTCAAATATGGTTTCAGTAAAATTTCAGTTGGCTTCTGCATTTTGTAATATGTGATACCAACTAAAAGAAAAATGTTTGTTATTGTTTTTTAACAGGTGAAATTTTTGTAATCTTAATCTTGATTTAAATCCTTTAACTTTTCAGGAAAATTTGTGTAGCCAGAGAGGTTTGGTACCCAACACAGAGTGTCAGACTTTTCAGATTGCAATTTCTAGCCAGATGAGACAGCATTATGACAGAATTCATGAGACACTAACAAGGGTTTGTATAAAATACAATTAAGATATCTTTTGCCAATATTTCATGTTGTTTAAATACAAAGAATATAGAAAAACTGCCAATACCTGATTTCTGCCCCCTATTTTCAATTTGTGTGTGAATTTTTTTTAACATAAATGTGGTGTCGTAAAGCATTAATGCAAGTCAAAATGTTTCAGTGAACAAGTTTTAGTAGTTCAACTTTATAACAATATAAATCAGCGGTTCTCAACCTGTGGGTCGCAACGCCTTTGGGGGTCGAACCACCCTTTCACAGGGGTCACCTAAGACAATCTGGAAAACACATATTTCCGATGGCGATTCATAACTAACAAAATTACAGTTATGAAGTAGCAACGAAAATAATTGGGGGTCACCACAACATGAGGAACTGTATTAGAGGGTCACGGCACTAGGAAGGTTGAGAACCACTGATACAAATCAGCCTGTTAAGTTTTTCTGGACAATGCTAGCATTTGGATTTTTTTAAAAAGAAGTGAATTTCTTATTGATGACAACTAAACGGTGTTTGCAGTGTTTTTATCATACAGTAGATTCCATCCATTCACTATACTTTTCTAACTGAGTTGTCCTACATGTAAGTACATGTTTTTAATGTTGTCTGTCTTCTGTGCTGTTCCTGTTAGTTTGCTATTAAAATATATTAAACTATTAAAAAATATATACCAAGAATGTAAGACATTTGCATTTATTTTTGTCTCTTTTTCACATTAGAAAAATGGCCCTGCTAGACTATTGAGTTCATCAACAAGTACTTTTGAACAGAATATAAAAGCATATCATACTATGAATAAATTTCTTGGCTCTTTCATCGACCATGTATGTATATTAGCATTTATATTTAAGCTAGAATTTTTGGCTATCAAAATTTATATTGTGCTTAAGGACAGATATAGGTTATGTAAAAGTAAAATGAGATTTTACATGTCTATTAGCATATTGATGATTACCTTAAAATATGTCTATACTGGAATTTTGTTGGCCAGTTACCAAAATCTTAGTGTTATTCATTTTAGAAATATGTTCTGCTATGGGTATATTCCTGAAAAACTTATTATAAATTAATTGTCAGTATATCTAGCCCTAAATGCTACTAAGGGCATTTAAAAATTAAAATATTCCTAAAAGGAATCTTGTTATGAAAGCCCAGTGGAGTAAATTCAGTCTTTTTGAGGAACAGATTTTCTTTGTGTACTATTCATTATTTGTTTTCTTTTTTTTTTTATTACAAAAAAAATTGGGAAACTTTTATTTCAATGCTAATTTTCAAGTGACTGTGGCTTTTTGTATTAGGTTCATAAGGAAATGGACTACTTGATAAAAGATAAATTGCTTCTTGAAAGAATTCTTGGAATGGAATTCATGGAGCCAATGGATAAAAGCATCTTTTACAATGGTATCCTTCAGTTGCCTTTGCTGAACTTGATTACTGTTTTCAGAGTTTGAAAAGAGTGGTTGCAGTTATTAATTTTTATTTTATTTTATAAATTTGTATAAAAAAAGAGGAAACATAATTAATATAGTTAACTTCATGGAATTATGGTATATAGTTTTCTGTTTTTATTTTATCATGTTATGTAGCAAGAAACAAATACATAAGAAATAATTATTCTATAAGAAGGTAAAAAAGCTGAATTTCCAAATCAATGGCACACATAGAAGAGATAGTAAAACAAATAAAATTCATCTTTTATTAGAGTGTTCATTCAGTAGCAAACTTAATGAAACACTTGAATAACATTTGTGATTAATTTTTAACATTTAATTTTCATTTTATCAAAATTCTTTAAAATCGTAGATATCTGTGATGGGAATAGTTACTAAAAATGATATTTCATCATATAAAAGTTAATGTATGTGCCACTTCTAATGTGACTAATAAGCTCTTGTATAGCTTGGTAAGAATGCAAATGTTATTAACCTAGGTCCTGGCCTAGCTATCACTTATGCATGTATCACTGAGTGCCACACATTGTGCCAGTCCTGGAATACACAGCCCGGAGGTCTCTCCCTTGGGCAGCTTGTTTAGTAGACTGTGAAAAGTAGGCATGTGAATGGGAAAGAGGAGAGATGCTGGGATAGATGTCTGCAGGCACAGCTTACACTGGGTACAGCAAGGGAAGTAGAAAAATCTAACCAGACGCAGGGTGAAGCCACAGAAGCAGTGTGGAGAAGTTTGAACTGAATCTTAAAAATAAGTTGCTGTTCATATTTCTCTCTCTCTCTCTTCCTCTCTCTCCCTCCCGCTCTATCTGAACAAAAAATGGAAAAATGTCCTCGGGTGCAGATTAAAAAAATAAATAAATAAATAAGTTGCTGTTCTCAAAGAGGAGGGTCAAGGAAATAGAGGCAAAGCCATTTGTGCAGAAGGGAAAAGGGCATTACACCCTTAAGAACTTTACGATAGAAACCTTGTATGAAGTGAGAGTGCTTGAAAGAGAAAGAGGCAGAGACCCAACCCCAACGCTTTGTCTAATACCCTAAGGAGTTTTACTTTATCCCATAGTTTCCAAATTTTTTAAACTTTTTGCCCCATCGGAGGTGTGCAGGTTGATCCATTGGGATCTGAGCAGAAAATACTAAAATGTTTATTTGTATATTTGCAATTCCATCATTTTAAATTTATATTTCTTAAAATGTATAATTTTAAGAAAATGTACTATATATTGTAGTAACTAATAAAATATGCCTCTTGTGGGATGCATGCTCAACGATTTATTCTGATAGAGATTTGTGTTGAAAACACGAATACAAGAGCTTATTAGTCTGTACTGTTAATGAACATGGACGTCATCAAAAAGTCCAAGCAGATCTGTAAATTGTGATTTGATAATTGTGTGTATATATAGGGTGTCCAAAATATATACACACTTAACAGCTGATAGCTCAATTGATATTTCTTTCTTTTCAGATTTGACCCATTGGAATTTATAATTATTCAAAGTGTGTATACATTTTGGGGGGACACCATAGATAGATAGATAGATAGATAGATAGATAGATAGATAGATAGATAGATAGATAGATATAGATACATACACACATACACTTATATACATACATACACACATTTTGTAAGGATATAATGTAAAAGTCAGTGAATTTTTACAAACTGAATATATCCCTGTAACTAGCACCCTGAACAAAAAAGAACATTACCAGCATGCCAGATGTCCTTTGTATAAAAGAGCTCCTAACTGGGTGTCATGGGCAGTTTCAGTGGTTCTCTGGACCTCCCTGATATTGTGTGCAAGATTCGTATATGTGTACTTGTTTTTTCTTCTGGTGAAAGGGTCTGTGACTTCCTTCAGAATCCTAATAGGTATTTACATCCCCATAACGAGAAAACCTCTCCTTTCCTTGTGAAGTGAGAAGAGGTTTCAGAGCAGAACCTTAGAGGACTATTTGAGAGACAAATTATAGCACATTATGTACTATTCTAGTCCTGTTAGTTTTGTTTTGCTTTTTTAACTCTTAGTCTTGCTACAATTCTTTGGCCTGTAGTTATATAAACAAGGACAGATATTTGTTACTTGGCCTTTGAAAGGTATTGACGATATACTTACACTATTAGCAATTACCAACCCTTGGTGCAAATGTTAAAACCAAATTTTATGAGCAGTTCCTTGACTAACCTTTTAGATTAGCAAATTTTAATATCTTCTATTTTTTTTGTAAGCCATGAAGTATTATAAGTAATAACTAGTTTCTATTATGCTGTTTTAAATACTCAAATTTTATCACCAGAAATTTATCACAGGTTTATTTTATTTTTAAATTTCTCATTTGTATCTTATAAACTGCTTTTTTTTTTTTTTTTTTAATAGATGAAGGTTATTCTTTCAGCAGTGTTCTGTATTATGGAAATGAAACCACTCTTCTTATTTATGATCTGCTGTTCTTCTGTGTTGTGGACTTGGCTTGCCAAAATTTTATTTTTGCAGCCTTCCTTACATACCTACAACAGGAGGTAAAGTTTTAAATTTTTTCTGGGTTATTTTTAAAAGGAAAGTATTGGAATTAGATGTTTATTTTTATAGCAGACAGTAATAATAATCGACTTTTCCTAGGAGTTTGTAAAGCTTTATATAAGGTGATTAACCCTATCCAAAAAATAAATAACATTTCAACTACTGTCATTCTGTACTCTGTCAGGGTCAATGAAATAGTGGGGTCTTGTGGAGGGCATATGTTGCTTGAACAAATGTGAAAGGAATCCAGTAGAAAGACACTTAAATTTTCCATCTCTTAGGTGCCAGATGTGAACAGTAGTTAGAGTCCCATTCTGCACCAGATGGTAACATAACAAAAAGGCAAGCCCTGGAGATCTAGCTCAGGGCCAGTTTAATTTATATCTTTTAATTGACTTGCATATTAAATTTCTTTACATATATATTTTTATAATTCTGAATTGTTTTAATTTTTTCCCAGATTTTTAGATTTATCCGTAATATAATAGGACAGAAGAATTTGGCATCCAAAACATTGGTGGATCAAAGATTTTTGATTTAACTTATTGAATAGATAACTCAAAGACTCAGTAGAATCGTGGCCAAAAAAGTCATGATTATCAGGTTAGTTTGCCATATTTTTTAAAACTTGTAATATAAATTATTCTATTTTCATTTGTTTTTAACCTCCAGAAAGATTTATTTTTAATTTGTGGATACATAATTTGCTTTGTGATTATATAATTTGATATAATGGAAAATACTCCATTATGTATAATATTTAATTCACCAATTTAGAGATTAGACAGCACTGACAATGGGGCAAAAAGTCTGAATGCTGCTTTCAGCATAACACTTCTTAATGGCAATCAAAACAGTCTCCATCATTTGTCTGGAGATTATTTTTACGATGGGGTTTGCCTGCATTTTCTCACATTGAAAAAATTATTTGATTCCAGGTTCAACCCTAGTTTTTAGTTTTACATATTTTATTGTTAAATAAATGTTGAGAATATTTTCAAGTTTACTTAGAAATGTAAAATTGCAGCCCTGGCCGGTTTGGCTCAGCGGTTGGAGCGTCGGCCTGCGATACAGAGAAATGTAAAATTGCATATTGCTGACTCAATTTGCTTTGTCTTAATCGTTTACCCTGTTTGGCAGTGGACTGGTTCACTATTGGATTAATAGGCATTTTAAGACATGATACATATTTATTCCTTTGTATACCTGTATTATTAGGTCAGTATACTCTTTTCATGAAATGTCATTTACTTTTATTAAGATATAATGTGTGACATTTTCCCCAATATAGTTTTTTATACATTTTAAATTACTTAACATTTTTAAAGGACTATCAAAGTTTTGCTCTTCTCTTATGTTTAAAACTTGTAAATAACAAATAAACTGTAAATTTATCATGTTGACAAAGTGATTTATTGAAAACAAACTTAGGCTTCGTAAGACAGTAGGCTTGTGTGTGTGTGTGTGTTGCTTTTTTTTTTAATAAGGAAAAACTATTAGGATTCAAAATATACTTAATGTAAATTCTGAGTTTTGTAGCTAATTTTTTTTTTTTTTTTTTTTTGGTACGTGCCCCTAGTGGGAACCAAACCTGGAACTCTCCGGTCCACAGGCCGACGCTCCAACCGCTGAGCCAAACCGGCCAGGGCGCTAATCATTTTTTATTATATGACTTTTTTTATTAAACTTTTTAATATTTTTCATTTATACTATGTACTTGAAAGGCACCTCATATTTCAAGTATAAGATCATTAACCCCCCAAACCATTGTGTAGGCCAAGATTTCATTTCTTACTGCTGTCTATGTTAATGCTATATAAATACTTAAATGTAATGCTATGTAAATATTGTTTATATTTTTGAATAAAAATATAGAATAAAACATTTTGTGTTTCTGTTTTCTGTTTAATTAGTGTGTCTTTTATAAAACAGCACTTAGGAATAAATATATCATGTAGGGGTAGAGGTCCTCAGTCATTGCCAGAGTTGAATCTTAAGCATTTTCCAGAATCTTGAGAATTGTTGAGGAGAAAGAAGGATGGCTAATAAGTATTTGAAACTCACTCCAGTTTCTGAAGGGTTACATTACAGGAATCCCTTTATAAAAGCTGCAGAGATAAATACATATACCAGCTTGGATTTTTAATAAACACCTACACAGAAGCATATGAAAGAAATTTTCAACTCTTATTCCACATATAAGAAGTTAATATTAGTGTGAATGTTTTTAAAAGAAAATTTCAAAAAAATGGCATCAGTTGAATCACCTGCTGGTAAATTAAAACAGAGAAAATACATTTCAAAAAGTCATTTTACATTAGTTTTATTTTGGTTAGAGACAGAAAAATGTGTTCAGACATTGTACGTTGTTGACTCCTTTGTTCACATTGCCTAATTTAAATGTTATGATCACATGACTATTTTCCACTAGATTTCTCATTTTTGTCTATTTCTGTAGCACCGACTCTACTTTGCATCTTGTATCTCTAATTTTACTGATTACTTGGAACCATTGATAAGTCTCTTTATTATTTCATAATGAAACAAACTCTGGATTCTCCTAGAGTTTCTTTACAAGCTGCTGTGTGCTTTGTAGCTTCCATATTTATGCTTAGGCCCCTAAAATAGTTCTCCAGTTCAACCCCTCTGTTATGAGATGTTTATATTTGCTTACTTGTCTTGTACTACTGTCTTAACGAACTGCTGTTTTAAAAATAGTTCCTTTATTTTATTGTTGACATTATTACAGATGCCCCCTCATTTGCCCTGCTCCACTCTCCCCTCCCTCTGGCCATAGCCACATTGTTGCCGGTGTCCATGGGATATATGTATGTTCTTTGACTATTCTCTTCACCTTGTTTCATTCCATCTGCACTGCCCCTGCCACCTCCCCTCTGACATCTGCCAGTCTGTATCATGTATTCATGACTCTGGTTCTATTTTGTTCATTTTATTTTGTTCATTAGATTCCATTTATAAGTGAGATCATATGGTATTTGTCTTTCTCTGACTGGCTTATTTCACTTAGCATAATACTCTCCAGGTCCATCTATGCTGCTGCACAAGATAATAGTTCCTTCCTTTTTACAGCTGTGTAGTATTCCATTGTGTAAATGTACCACAGCTTTTTTATCCACTCATCTACTGATAGGCACTTGGGCTGTTTCCAGATGTTAGCTATTGTGAATAATGCTGCTATGAACATAGGGGTGCATATATTCTTTCTGATTGGTGTTTCAAGATTCTTAGGATACATTCCCAGAAGTGGGATCACTGGGTCAAAAGGCAGTTCCATTTTAAATTTTTTGAGGAAACGCCGTACTGGCTGCACCAGTCTGCATTCCTACCAGCAGTGTACTAGGGTTTCTTTTTCTCCACAGCTTCATCAGCACTCGTTTGTTGATTTATTGATGGTAGCCATTCTGGCAGGTGTGAGGTGGTATCTCATTGTGGTTTTAATTTGCATCTCTCTGATGATTAGTGACTTTGAAGATTTTTCATATGTCTCTTAGCCATCTGTATGTCCTCTTTAGAGAAGTGTCTATTTAGGTTTTTTGCCCAGTTTTTAAAAAAATATTTTTTTCTTTATTGATTTAGAAAGAGAGGAAGGGAGAGGGAGAGAGAGATAGAAACATCAATGAGAGAGAACGTCAATTGGCCACCTCCTGCATGTCCCCCACTGGGGATTGGGCCCACAAGCTGGGCATGTGCCCTGACCAGGAATCGAACCAGTGACCTCTTGGTGAATGGGTCGACACTCAATCACTGAGCCACACCGGCTGGGCTGTCCAGTTTTTGGTTGGATTGTTCATCTTCCTTTTGTATGAGCTCTTTATATATTTTGGACATTAAGCCCTTATCAGATGTATCATTGGTGAATATGTTCTTTCTTTCATACAGTAGATTCTCTTTTAATTTTGTGGATGGTTTCTTTTGCTGTGCAGAAGCTTTTTAGTTTGATGATGTCCCATTTATTTATTTTTTTTCTTTGTTTCCCTTGCCTGAGGACATATATTAACAAAAATATTGCTGCAAGAGATATCTGAGATTTTACTGCCTATGTCTTCTCAGATTTTTATGGTTTTACAATTTGCATTTAAGTCTTTTATCCATTTTGAGTTTATTATTGTGCGTGATGTAAGTTGGTGGTCTAGTTTCATTTTTTTGCATATACCTATCCAATTTTCCCAAAACCATTTATTGAAGAGACTGTCTTTACTCCATTGTGTGCTCTTGCCTCCTTTGTCAAATATTAATTGATCACAGAGGCGTGGATTGATTTCTGGGCTCTCTGTTCTGTTCCATTGATCTATATACCTGTTCCTGTGCCAGTACATGGCTGTTTCAATTACAATGTGCTTGTAGTATAGTTTGATATCTGGTATTGTGAGGAAAGGGTGGTTTTTTCAATGGTCAATTGAATATCACAGTGGAAAAATCTCTACCTCTATTCGCACACTAAAATCAATTTCAGGTAGATGGAAGATACAAATGTAAAAGTTCAATGATAAAGATTTTAGAAGATAACATATATTTATGACTATTGTGTAGGCCAAGATTTCTTAAACAAGACCCCAAAAAGGCCAACTTTAAAAGAAACCATTGGTAAGTTGAAGTTTACATTCTACATTAAATTTACACTTATGTGTATTCACATTCAATACAAATTTTCTATTTACATTGAAGTTAGAAACTCTATTCATTAAAATATCCTGTTATAAAAATGAAAAGGCAAGCCTAAATATGAGAAAATATATATATTTTGAAACATACTTGACAAAGCACTTTCATTCAGAATAAATAATTCGTGAAATCAGTAAGGGAAAGACGACAGCCTAACAAAAATGGGCAAGACACTGAAGACACATCTCTCAAAAAAGGGTTTCCAGATGACCAATAAGTACATATAAGTGCTCAGCCTTAGTATCATGACAGTGCAAAATAAAATAAAGATACCACTCACTATAAAAATACAAAAACAGTTCAAATTTAAAAACTTAGAATACCAAGTGTCGATAAGGATATGGATGGAGCAAATGAACTTTCATAATACATTTATTATATAAAGTGAGATGTTTAGTCTTAATCTGTAACTTTCAACTGGACTGTTTTGTAAGTATCTTAAATTAAGACAGGAAAAGTCCTCGCTCTGTTTGATGGAAGCCATGATGACAGCAGATGGCGGCAGAGTGCACACTAAGCTGAGCTCACAGCACTGCTAAATGTAGAGAATACTGCTACCTCTCCCCTCGCTTCTCACTTACATTGTCCCTCTCCTTATTCACGAGAGCATTGGGCAGCTCAGAGACAAAGTGTACTGCTGTCTTATGTGCTGAGGTTTTCCAGTGCAGGCTTAGGAATTGAATGCTAAAAATAGAAATATACTTTTCACCCATCTCCCAGGGAAAGGGTCACAAAAATAGGTCATGTCTCAGGGGAAAAAAACAACAACTAGTTATCTAGTGATTATGCATTCCTCTTCCCTCATTTGATTGCATTACACATTTACATAAAAAAGTAAACCATTATCCAAAGTATGTAATGCCTCTTTTGCAAATACGGTCTCCCCAAATGGGACTCTATATGGCACACTATAGGATATGTTATACATTTATTTTAATATGGCAACTTTAAATGGAACAGCAGGTGCTGGTTTTTTGTTTTTGTTTTTTTAATACTTTATTGGTTTTAGGGAGAGAGAGAGAAACATCGGTGAGAGAGAACATTCATTGGCTGCCTCCTGCATGCCCCCCACTGGGGATCGGGCCCACAACCTGGGCATGTGCCCTGACTGGGAATCGAAATGGCAACCTCTTGGTGCATGGGTCGATGCTCAACCAGTGAGCCACACCAGCTGGGCTTAATATGGCAACTTTAAACCTTACCAAAGGCAATATGGTTTCAAATACCATGAAACCCGCTTTCTTCTCTCAGGTTCTCTTAGAGTTTGTTTTTATTGTAAATGAGGCTTCTATATTAAGCAAGATTACAAGAGATGTTTTTGTA